AAAAAAAAAAAAAAAAATCAAGCATCTAGAATAAGAGAACTATACATGTTCTTTTTTTTTGGAGTGGGAGTCTCACTCTGTTGCTTAGGCTGGAGTGCAGTGGCATGCTCACAGCCTTGACCTGCTGTGCTCAGGTGATCCTTCCACCTCAGCCTTCCAAGTAGCTGGAACTACAGTCATGTGCTACCATGCCCACTAAATTTTTGATTACCGTAGAGACGAGGTCTCACCAAGTTGCCCAGGCTGGTCTCAAACCTCTGAACTCAGGCAATCCTCTAGCCTCGGCCTCCCAAAGTGCTGGGATTACAGGCTTGAGCTTCCGCGCCCGGCCCACATGTTCTCATAGTTAGAAACATCTGAAAGCCTGTCTCTTTGCATGAGGCATGTGCAAACAATCATTAAACAGTGCTCCTAACTGATCAAAACACATCACAACATCTTGTTCTTCCATTGTTTTTCTCCTCTCTATTTTTTATAACTACACTGGAAAATAAAAGTTGGCCAAACCTGACTTACACATGAGGAAACTGAGACTCGGAGAAGCTCAAAGACCTACTCTAGGTCACACAGCTGCTGAGTGCAGAAGCTTGAATTTGCAACCGTGTTTGCTTGGTTCCTGAGGCTACATATTTTACAGGAAGCCCTGTGAGCCTTCAGTTCCCTGTGCTTAGAAACAATAGTGTACGATTGATACTTCCTACTGAGGAAGGAAAGCGGTGGGGCCTGGGACGATGGGAGCCAAGGTGGGAGTGGAGTGAGGGCCAGGGACTTGGTACCTGCAGCAGGGCCAGGGCCCAGGTGAAGCGGATGCGACAGCAACGGAGAGAAGAGCGAGAGGCAAAGACGCCAGCCTGGTACAGCATCTGGTACCTGAGGTGGGGGCAGGGAGTAGGAGGAAGTTCCTCTGGGTACCTGCATGCTACCCTGGGTACCTAGTGGGCAGGTCATCCCTTCCCAGCCTCAGCCCCATCACCAGGAGCCTCCCAGCCCACTGCCCTCACTTCTCTTACCAGCGGTACTGCTGAGCGTGACTCAGGGATGTGTTCCGAAAAAACAGAAGCTCAAACTGCAGCAAAGGCCAGGCAGGGGAAAGGGTTGGGGCTGTGTGGGTCCCAACATCAATCCCTACTTCCACACCCCCCCTCAGCATCCCTCACTCACAAGTCCCTGATTGATGAAATATTCGGCAAAGTAAACCACTACCAAGGGGATGATGTACCATAGCAGGCCCTGGAAGGGTCAGAAGATATAAGTGGAAGGCCGGGAGATGGGCACCCCCCACAGGGATACACCACAGCCACCATTCAAACCTTGAACACAGTCCACCTTTCCTGAAGGGAGAGGCTCGAGCTGGATCCTGCAGGGTAAAAGGGAGACAAAGGCAGATACCAGAGTTATTAATCAGCCGACATGGCAGTAGGAACGTACTTATATGCCACTGGAGAGTACACTGAGAAATAGTTAAAATGGTAAACTTCCTATTCTATACATACTTTACCACTATTAAAAAGAAAAAAGAGTTAACCAGAGGAGACTTTTCATGGCTCTTGTCTATCTGCCTGCTCTGCCCAGTCTCACTGGCCCTTTTGTTTCTAGAACATCCATGCTCATTTCCACCACAGGACCTTAGCACTTGCTGTTCCTCCAGTGATGAATTTCTGGGACATAGTACTAAATGAGTATTTCTTGAGTAGATGAATGTTTTCCCTGTAGCCAGTACACTCGCCCTCTTTGCCTCATGACTATGTCCATTGTAGGGAGGAAAAGACTAAAACCCAGAGACAGAGGAAGCGACCTTTTTGAGGGTCTGTGTCTCTTACCTGGCTTAGACCCTGGAACCTCGGTGTTTATCAGGGGCTGCCGAGCTGCTGTCTCTGCCTCCTCTGCCCCTCCAGGGTCCTGGGGCTCAGGAGACGTGAGCAACAAGAAGTAACTAGGAGGAGGATGCAGACAGGGTCAAAGAGCCCCAGTTAGTCTGGGAGGGTCCCCAAAGGCTGACTAGGCCACTCCCGCCCAGGGCACACCACATATTTTAACACTTCCAAGGACAGGAAGCTCACTGCATCTAAGGTACCCATCCTATTCTGGAGAGTTCCAATTGTGGGAAAATGCTTCTTTCTTTGGAGCTGAATTTGTCTCCTTGTTGTTTCTATCCATGGGCTCTCCTTTTGACTGCTGGTTCACACCAAGCCAGGAATCAGTTTTGTTTCCTTGTCATTATTATTCTGAGTTGGGATCTTACTCTGTTGCCCAGGCTGGAGTGCAGTGGCATGATCACAGCTCACTGCAGTCTTGACCTCCTGGGCTCAGGCAATCCTTTTGCCTCAGCCCCCAAATTAGCAGGGACGATAGGCACATACCACCATGATCAGCTAATTTCTTAATTTTTTTGTACAGATGAGGTCTTGCTATGTTGCCCAGGCTGGTCTTGAAGTTCTGGGCTCAAGCGATCCTCTTGCCTTGGCCTCCCAAAGTGCTGGGATTACAGGTGTGAGCCACTGCGCCTGGCCAACTTGTCATTATTAGTCTATCGACTGCTCTAGCTACCGGTAATTATATGTTCACTCTGTGCTAGGCCAGAACTTCCCAAAATTTAGTCACTTGCCATATCCACATTCCTCCTTCATATAAAAGTTTTTACTTAATATTTTCCTTTAAATTGACTCACTTTTTCTACCTGGCCTTGTACTAAGCAATAAACTGTAGAGATCCAGGTTTGATTGACAGTTAAAATTTTTTCCTAATATGCATGAAATCATACACAGAACTAATAAGATAAAGTCCACCCCTGTCCCACTTCAGATCATCTTGGGAACCACACAGTGCTGAATGTGTCACACTCATCACCTCGGGGAAAGCAAGAACCACCACCATTTGAGATACAGGGACACCAAGGGTTCAGACAGGTGAAATAACTTGTCCAGTGCCACACAGCTAATAAGTGGCAGCTCCAGGACTCAAACCCAGGGCTATGAGAGTCCAGAATCCACATTCCCTCCTAACAAGGCTGTAGGTATCTGAAGATTGGGATCATGATCATGTTCTCTCTTTTCAAATTTCTCTTCCTCCCGGTTCAGGGCAGCTCACCTGGCCAGCAGCAGGGCAGGTATACCCAGCATGGACAGCAGGGTATGCTGTGGGGAGAGGCCTGCTTGGGTGAGGCCCAGGTAGGACAGGGCCCCCAGCAGCCCGGCTCCCCCAGTACCTGAGGACCACCAGGAGATCACAGCCCTGAGAGGAAGAACACAAGAGTACTTAGGAGGACCAAAGCCAGCAGTGGGATGGCCCCTCCCCCCACCCCTTGCTCTGCTTGCTTACCTGGGGTAGAAGGCCGTGAGTGAGAGGAAGGTGACCTCCCCCAGGCCTGACGAGATGCTAGCCAAGACCACACCTGGGAGGAGGACAAGCACAGAGGTGGCCATACCTGATCTCTCCCAGACAGCCCCAGTCCCCTAAGGTGTTTGACCATGGCCTCCTCTATGTCAGCTCAGAGGGGCTAAAAACAGATATCATGGCAGGCTGAGATCCAGATCTGAAGTAGACCCAACCTCTTCTTCCACAGACCCTCTCCTGGAGAACAGTACCTCCATTCACCCAGTTATCAGACCAGGAGCGCGAATTCATCCTCGACATCTCATCCCCTGCATCACAGAGTCTTGGTGACGCTGCTCACCTCAGTCTCTACTTAATCTATCCATTTCCTCCTATCTCCTCCACCACCTTCTCCTCCACCTTGCCCTCGTCATCTCCCACCTCCTAGTGCTGACAGCCCTAGCAGGCCTCTGAGGGTTACAGAAGTCATTCCTTTCTTCCAGGAAACTGGGGAGCCTACCCCCACACATGCTTCTCTGGTCCCCTCACCTGACACAGAACCACACACTCACCACACAGGCTGGTCCCCACTGAATGAGAAAAGGCAACTAGGATGAAGCTCCCTGCAGCACAAACTCCACTGAGGAGAACCCGAGGGCTGAGGCAGAGGGTGGGGGAGGGAAGGTGAAGGTCAGCCTCTGCTCTCAGCTCCCCAGCCCTTCCTCCCACCACCCCCATCCAGACCTGTAGGGCAGCAGATGAAGGCCAAGAGGAGCCAGCAATTTGATGACGAGGGTGGGGAGGATGTCTGCCAGGAGCACCGCCTGGGACAGGACAACACAGTGAGACCCCAGATCTTCTCAGGGACCACCTTTCCAACTAAGCGGCTGAGAAAAGGCAGCAGCAGGCCAGTTAGGCCTGCTACGAACACAAGCTCTGGAGTCAAACAGATCTGGGTTCAAGTCCCAGCTCTGCTGCTCCTTAGCAGTGTGTCAAGACATTTATGTTCTCTGAGCTTCGGTTTCCTCATCTGGAAAATGGGGGTGATTATAGTACCTAGCTCACAGGACTGTTGTATGATACGCTACATACAGAAAGGACTCAGTAAATGCTGGTCTCTATTTTAATCATGACGGTCCCAGCTGAGCCCTGAGGGGTTGGGGGTGGGGTCTATAGACCTAGAGGGCCTGGGTCAGGAGAGGACCAGATGAGTACGCACAGCTGTGGAGACAGAGTTGCAGTCAAATCGAGATGAGCTATTGTGGGGGTTTGGCGTTGGGCCTGGGTCCACCTGATGGGAGAGAAGAAAGTCTTTCACTTAGGGAAGAAGGAGTAGACAAAAAGAGCCTGGCTCCAGTCCCACCTCTGCTTTAACCTGAAGAATGGCTTTGAGTCTGAACCAGCCTCTCAGATCTCAACTTCTCTGCGTGCATGATGAAGGGGGTGGTTTCCATGAGTCTCAAACGAATGGCCCAGAGGCCAAAGGCAGTTCTACAAATGGACTGTTTGAGTAACACATTCAAGAGCTTTCTTCTTTTTTTTTTTTATTATGGTTTTGTGGGGTACAGTTAAGGGTTAGGTGTACATCTTCTTTTTTTTTAAGGAGCTTTCATATAAAAATTTGAATTTCCAGAAAATCTGACCCTGGACCAAATTCACTGCTGGACCTGCATGATGGCAGCTGCTCTCCTCGGATGAGGTATGCACCCTCTAGCTCACCACAGACAAGCGATTCTCAACCAAGGGAAACTTGACTACTCGCCAAGGAAGATTTGGCAATGTCTGCAGACATTCTTGTCTGCCACAACTGAGGGTCAAGGGATGTGCTATTGGCATCTAATGGGTAGAGGTTAAGGATGCTCCTAAATGTCCTACGGTGCTCAGGAAAGTCCCATGACAAAGACTCATCCACCTCAAAATGTCAATAGGGCCCAGGTTAAAAAACCCTGCCATAGACCCTAGTCCTACCCAGCCAACATTGAGGCTTGCAAACCCAGCACCCATGAATCTCGTAAAGGCGCTTCCTATTCCAAGGGTCTGGCAGACTGGGATCTTTAGCTCTCTTACCTCTTGGCCACTCCATTCTATGAGTTTTTAGAGGGCCTCTGTCCCAGGGTGAGTGCCTAACCTTCCCATAGGGACCAACCAGGGGGTCACTTACATGGCTCTGGTTCCCAGGTGACCTCTCATGGCTAAGGATGTCATGGGCAGCACTCAGCATCACCACATAAGAAAAGTTGTTGCAAAGGCCCAGCAGCCTGGAGTGAGCAGGACAGACCTCAATTTCCTCTCAGGCCTACAATTCATCCACAAACCTCCCCCTTGCCTGTGTCCATCAATCAGCTTCCTCTTTTTCCCCCTCTATCACCAGATCTCATCTTCATTCAATGTTTGGTTCAGAAATAGAGGCTTTGGGATCACGGGCCTGGGTTCACGTCCAGTCTCCAAGACCTTTCTCAGGCAGCTACCTTTGATCAGGCTCTCCTCTGAGCTCTCACTATGATTCAGTTCCTGGGGCATTTCTGAACCAGTGGTGCACAGTGGTGCAGTGAAAAAATCCTGGGGCTTGAAATTCAAAGGACAATGTTCAGGTCCCAAGTCTGCTGCTTCCCCCTTTAGTGGCCTCGGTCTACTCATGTGTAAAGTGGGCATACAAATTTCTCTTCTGACTCCCTCACGAAGTGCTGTAGGGATCAAAATAAGATAAAACCAGCTGGGCACAGTGGCTCACACCTGTAATCCCAGCATTTTGGGAGGTGGAAGTGAGAGTATTGTCAGCCCAGGGGTTCGAGACCAGCCTGGGTAACTTGGTGAGACCTCGTCTCTACAATAAATCAAAAAATTAGCTGGGTGTGGTGGCACATGCCTGTGGTTCCAGCTACTTGGAAGGCTGAGGTGGAAGGACCACTTGAGCCCAGTGGGTCAAGGCTGCGGTGGCTATGAGGGTGCCACTGCATTCTAGACTGGGTAACAGAGTGAGACTCTAACTAAAAAAAAAAAAAAAAAAAAGATAATACCAAAGTGCCTTAGGTTCCATGAAGAGTTTTTTTAAAAGCAGGATTTATTGAGAGGACAGAAAAGCTCCCAGAGTGGGAGGGGACCCAAGGAGGCTGCGTGCATGAAGGATCTTGTTATGTGTACTCTCATTTCCCTGAGCTGCACAGTGATGGGAAGAAAACTGGGCCCAGAGCCAGAGATTTCATAAATGACCTTTCCATCCTATGAAGTGATACTTACTACTCTTTCCATTTTACTGTTGAGGAAACTGAGACTTAGAGAGGTTAAGTGACCCTTCCAAAGAATACATGAGAAGCTACTACCAACCCAATCTGTCACCCAAGACTTTGATGTTTAGGTTAATGCTAGAAATATTTTCCAAGGCTCAGTATTAGAATGATCCTAAAGGTAGATGGAGGACCTTTTATTTTACAAGTTTTAGTAGTGATGCATTTATTTAAATGTGTATTAGGAGAATACTGGTATTCCATGTACAGTAGTGATTTTTTTTTTTGAGTTGGAGTCTCACTCTGTCGCCCAGGCTGGAGTGCAGTGGCATGCTCATGGTCACTCCAGGGTCCACCTGCTGGGCTCTGGCGATCCTTCTGCCTCAGCTTTCCAAGTAGCCTGAACTACAGGTGTGCGCTACCACGCCCGGCTAATTTTTGATTTATTGTACAGACGAGGACTCGCCAAGTTGCCCGGGCTGGTCAAGAATCCGCGGGCTCAGGCAATCAACTCACCCAGGCCTCTCAAAGTGCTGGGACCACTGAGCCCGGCCCAGTAGTGATTTTAAAGTTTTAGTTTTTAAGATATGTGTATTAAAAACGTTTAAGGCTGAATTGGGTAAAGGAAAAATATGAAAGAAATAATCCTACAGGTGGTATGAGGACCTGGCCAAATGTGAAGGTGGTAAGTAAAGGAGTGAAGTTTGGAACATTTAAGCGCTGCTTCACGCAAAGCAATTACATCTGTCAATATCTGTGGATTCAGTTCCTTGGTGCCATCCAACTCCTTCTTCCCCTTTTCCTCCATTCTCTTCCCTCTTCCCATCATTACTTTTGCTGGACTCTCAGGCCACTCACCAGAAGCCGACCGCGTTCTTCCAATGCACACCCTGGTGGTCCGACAGAGGGGGCCGGGGCTCCGGGACGGTCTCCTCCCCTGGGAGGGCGAGAAGAGGGCATGACCTCCACTCCACTCTCAGGTGCACGACAGCCCCATGAGTGTCTCCCCCGGGCAGAGCCAGCTCTCACTTCCCTCAGGTGCGAGTCAGAGGTGGTCACCACCGTGAGGGTGGGCCGAAATACTCACCTTCGGAACCCAAAAGGCGCCACCGCGAGCCCGCACAACATCCCATGGCATCAAGTTCGGGTTCCTCCCAAAGTCCAAAATCATAGAGTGTTCAGAGTCGGCTCCCAAGGGATGGTTGAGGGTCTGCGACAGGTGAGAAGGATCAACGCCCCACCGTCGGTCCCGGCTCCGGCTAGTCTGCAGCACTCGCACCCCGGGATCAGACTGGCCCGGGGCTCCATCTCGCGGCGTCTCGCCCCCTCCCACGTCCCACCACGCCCCACCTGTCGAACTTTGCCCCCGCCCCCTCTACGACAGGGGACCCTGCGGCGTGTACCTTTAAGAGCAGCCGAGCGTTCCGCTCCGAAGAGGCAGGTTGTCGGGTCACGTGACAGCACCCGGCTTCCCCCATCACGTGCTCGGAGGTCCTCCCTATTTCCGGGTCTTTTCTTGGTCTTCGCTTTAGGTCATCTCAGCTTCGGGGCATGAGAAAGGGGGAGACCGGGAGGACCCTGGAACCGTAGGTTTTAAACTGGAGCGGATGGGATCAACAAGTAGAGCCATGAGGTTAGATTAGCCGCGCCCGAAGCTAGGACGGTATCTTGCCAGCACTACTCATGGCTGCGGCCGGCTTCAGTTTCCTTCTCTCGGCATGCACTTGCCAGAAACAAATATGACCACCTGCCTACTCCCTCGCCGCGTCTCCCTATCCCCCACCCCCTTTCCCCAGACGATACTGTTTGGGAACAAAGACAGCCAGCGTCAGATCATTCTTACTCCTATCTGTTGCCCTTAGAAAATGTTTTAGAAACCTAAAATAAAGGTTACGCCGATAAATGATCTATTGGTAGTATCCAAGACGTTGAGATCCCTTTTTAAAAATTACCCTACAATCAAAAAATACCAGGATGTAATCCTACCCCTGATTTTATAGATGAGAAAACTGAGGTACAAAAAAAAAAAAGAAAAAACGGGAAGTTACAATCATACAACGGGAGACCTAAAGGACCTTAGAAACCTATATGGCAATAAGAAATAAAGCCCCAGAGGCAGGGAGCCATTGAACAGACTGTTGCAGGATTTCTGCCTCCAATCAAGGGTGCTTAGCCCAGGTGATTCTAAGGCCTAAAATTCTGATTCTTTAATCTCATCCAATTGTCCGAATTAAAAATTAGGAAAGTGGAGCTGGGGAGGGGGGAATAGGGGAGAGATGTAGATCAAGGTCACGCCACATAGTCCCAAATAAGAAGTCATACCCTTACCTTCCTCTAGGTGGAAAAGCAGTATCGTGATTCTCTTCATCATGTCCTTCCCCTGTTAATCTCTGCTATGGGCTTCCAACAGCCTGTGCCCATCTCTACCAGCTTTCTCACCACCAGGCCTTCACATTGGTGTTTGAAATGTGCCACCTCTGGTGTGCTTCCCAGGCCACTCAACCAATTAAAAATGGAGCCCTACTACCCATGCAGGGCTCTAGAAATTCAGCAGTGTTTCATACATGGCCTATGCCCTCAAGGAACTCACAGGAGGGTGGAAGGTAGACACAAATAACCACAATATGAAGTTTAGACAAGTTCCCTTTTGCAAGAGTAACCATAAATGAGGGGATGGGCATTGAAACCACCAATCCAGCCCTTTCATCCCCTTGGGGAAGCATTATTGACACTGAAATGAGAAGCCACAGTTCCCACCAGCCCCCTCCTCACTCCTACTCCTTGTCCCCCGGCAAAACAGGAACCACAAACCCCAGCTTCCTCTCACAGAGTGGCTGTGGTTTGGGGGAGACGGAAATGGCTGAGGTGTGAATACAGGACCTGAGTCACTTGAGCTGCAATTACCGCATGCCTCCTCCCCTCCCCCCCCAATTCTGAGTTCTCCTGCTCCCACTTTTTCCTTTCTGGCCTCCCCCTTGCCCTTTAGTTCCACAGGTGCACCTGAGTCCTTGTGTGATGCATACTCACTTCCTGGCCTGGAGTGGAGGCTGCTGTGGGCATTAGGGGGAGTGGGCAGGGCCTAGGGTGGGGATGCGTCAGGGAGAGACAGGGGAAGAGGAAGTGTCTTGAGTCCTGGGGAAGACGGCTTGTCTTGGTGGGTGGGGACGGTCATTGTCAGCTTTCTGGACACACAGAGACAGACAGGATGGAATTCCTCCGGCTACACCTCCCTGGGCTGCATCAGGCCTTGAGGGGGGCACTGGTGAGAGGGGCAAAGAAATGCCAGAGACTTCCACCCTGCTCCCTGGGATCTCACCTCAGGGACCCTCCCCGAGGGCCTCACCTTCCCTCCTCTCTTTAGCCTCTCTTCAAACTTAGAATTCCTTTCTCAGGATCAGGCAGCCTCCTAGGCCAATCTTTTCTGGATTTCAATACTCCCACTTTGACAAACACATCCACATACCCCTCATCTAGGCCCTTTCTCGCTCCTTCTGCAGATCCTGTTCTCCTCTTCCCAAATCCTAGAACCTTCTTTTTTATCCTGGACTCCTCTGGCCCAGGTCCCCCCAGGGAAAGAGGGGGAAAGGACTGGACCTCCCCTTAATGCCTTTGCCCCTCCCTCTTTTCTAGGATTCCTTCAGCACCTTTGTCTCCTACCTCATGGGAGATGCAGTCCCCACTGTGGAGAGGGAGGCACAGGCAGCCGAAGAACTGGTGGTGGTGGCTACAGGAAGGCCAGGGAGGACTGTAGAGGAGGAAGCCCAGGAGGCCCTTAAGGACATTAGAGGCAGCCAAAGAGAGAGGGCTGGAGGGCTAAGAGGGCCTGGAGAGGCTGGAAGACACCAAGGGGGAAGCTCAGTTGCAGAACAGACCTGGGCCTGGGAAGACGGCAGCTCCCATGGGTCCGAAACAGATAGGCAGGACACTGGGGCTGCTAGCTGCCAGGAGCCAAGTACCCCCTTGCTGGCTGAAAAGAAGTCTGAGGCAGGGGCTGGGGCTTGCAGAGACAGGAGCGGCCAAGTTCAAGAGAATCAGGAGCCTGATGAGCAGGAAGTGAACAGAGGGGAGAGGCTGAGAACCTGGGAACAAGAGGAGGAGGAGGAGGAGGAAGAGGTCAGGGCAAGAGAGCCAGGGATGGCCAGAGGGGTGGAGTCAGAGTGGACCTGGCACAGGGAGCCTGAGGGGAAGGCTGGTGCCAACGGGCAAAAGGTGGCAGGGGACAGCAGGGAGATAGAGCAGGTGGTCAAGGAGGCAGTTGTAGAGGAAACTGAGGGGCCTGGGGCCAAAGAGGCTGGGAAGGAAGAAGAGGTGGTGGTCGTGGTGAAGGGTGGCCTAAGCACAGGGGAACAGGGGACACAAGGTCCAGGGGCAGAGTCTGAGGACTGGGCAACCTCTGGCAGAGAGGAGGCCTGGATAACCTCAGGTAAGGAAGAAGTCAGGACAGCCTCAGGCAGGGAGGACGCTGGAACAACTTCAGACAGGGAGGACAGGAAGGAGGTCAGGACAACCTTGGACAGGGAGGAGGCCTGGACAACCCCCGGCAGGGAAGATGTTAGGACAACCTCAAGCAGGGACGAGGTCTCGGCGACCTTAGGCAGAGCAGAGGCCTGGACAACCTCAGGCTGGGAGGAAGTCAGGACAGCCTCAGGCAGGGAGGAAACTGGAACAACCTTAGACAGTGAGGATGCCTGGACAACCTCGTGTAGGGAGGAAATCAGGACAGCCTCAGGCAGGGAGGAAGCTGGAACAACCTCAGACAGGGAGGACAGGGAGGAGGTCAGGACAACCTTTGGCAGGGAGGAAAGCTGGACAATTTCTGGCAGGGAAGAGGTTAGGACAACCTCAAGCAGGGAGGAGACCTGGACAGCCTCAGGCAGGGAGGAGGCTGACCTCTCAGAAGACAGGGAGACAGAATATGAACTAGTCCCAGGTGAAAGGACCCCAGAAGCTACTGGGAAAGTCTGGGCCCCAGAGGAGGAGGTGGTTGAGAAGAGAGAGGCTGAGGTGAGTCTTTTCCCCAAACAGGCCCAGGCCCTGGGTGCTGAGGGAGTGGAAGAGGCAATTGAGAGCCAGAGAGCAGGGAGGGAGGCTACCAGAGGCCAGGAATCAGAGGAGGAGTCAGGCGGGGACTTTGAGGGCCAGGCAGATCAGAATAGGAAAGAGCCTGAGAGGAAACCAGACTCCGAGATCAGGGCTGATGGGGCTGGGCTGGAGGAGGTAGTACAGGCAGAGGACGTCCAGGAGGAGAAAGAGAGTTGTGGGACCCCAGAGGCTGAGCTGCCTCCGGACATAGAGGCTGAAGGTGATGCTGACTTGGAGGCAACCCCAGAGGCCAGGCCTGAGGAGGAGTTCACGGGGAAGAGGAGTGAGGAGGCTCTGAGGATCAGCGATGCACCAGGGGTGGAGTGGGAGGGCTTCGAACACAAGGTCACTGAAGGTCAGGAATCTGAGCTGGTGGAAGGTGCCCAGACCCCAACAAAGCAATCTGAGAAAGGACAGGGGGGCAAGGAAGAACTCTGGAGAGTTCCAGTGCTGAGCAAAGAGGATACAGAATGGAGTCTGGAAGAATATCGTGGGCACATGGGGTCTGAAAAGCCTGAGGTCTTGGAGGCTTTCCCAGAAGCCTGGGAAAACTGGAGAAGGGACGTGGAGAGAGGGACTACCCAGGAGGAAGATGCAGATGCTGAAGAGGGGGAGAAGGTGGTTGCAGGAAGCCAGGCCCTGGAGGCCAAGGCCGAAGCAGGCCAAGATTCTAAACTACCAGAGGCCCCAGAGGCAAGCAGAGAGGAGGAGAAAGCAAAGGAAACAGGATATGGAGCAGAGGAGGGAGAAGCCTCTGGAGCAGAGAACCAAGAGCTGGATGGGAGCAGTGGATCAGAAGCAGGGACAGGCCAGTCACTGGCAGAGGTAGATGTCAGAGAAACCATAGATGAGGAAATGGAGGCCGCAAGTCCATTAGAAGCAGACAGAACATTCAGCAAAGGTTGGAGGCTAGACAGCAAAGACACACAGACCAATTCTTTGGCTGCTGGGATAGTTGAGGATATGGTGGTCTTGGATGAAAGGGCTGCTGGGATTGGGGAAGCTTGGGAGGGGGAGTTAGAGAGAGGCTGGGACTCAGAAGGGAGACAGGAGGCTGTAGTGGGAGAGAACAGAGGTGGGCAGGAGTCTGGCCTGGAGGGCTCAGCAGAGGAAGAGGTGGTTGGTAGAGGTGGCCAAGCAGAGGCTTTTGAGGTCAGAGAGGGAGAGCCTGGGGGAGGGCAGGTAGAGCCTGGGGAATCTGTGGGGGCAGAAGGAAACTGTGGGCAAGATCACTTGACCTTGGACTTCTTAGCAATGAGGACAGAGGGAACTGGGGTCATACAGGAGGCTCAGGGGTTTCTAGGAGAGCAGATACTATTGGAAAAAGAGAGTGACGAAGGGCAAGTGAGAGAGCAGAGGGGAGACAGGGAAGGACAGCATGGGGACCACCACCCTGAGGGAGGGGCACCCAGGCCCCTTGATGTGGCGGATACCCTGGATGTGAACGATATCAAGGCGACTGGAAGCCAGAGGGCAGAGGCTGAGGAGACTGATCCAGAAGGCTTGGGGGATGTCACGGGCCAGGAGGAGCAGCCAACAAACCAGGCAGAGGATACACTTGGGCCACGAGGGGACGCTGAGACTGCTGAGGCCGCCGGAAGTGCCAGAGGGGATGCTCGTGGCAGCTGGAGTGAGGTGAGGGCTCCCCTGGGGTCCCGGATGGGACCAAGTGGAATCTGGAAGCCAGCCCCACAGTCCTCTATGCCCCCATCCCTGCAGGCCCTGCTCCCTGGATCCCGCTTGGATGTCTCTGTCCCGAGGAGCCGCGTGCTCCTCTCACGAAGCTCCTCACAGCGTCGCTCCCGGCCCTCTTTCCGTCGGGCCCCTACCCCTGAGTCGCTGGAGGACCCATCGGCCCCCAGCCTCCAGCCCGAGGAGGAGCTGCCAGCCCCTGAGCAGAGACTTCTCCAGCCAGAGGAACTACCAGAGCCAAGCCCTCCGAGACCCGAAGGGACCCCGGTGCCAGCCAGGGGAAGGCCCCTGGGATACGGGTAGGCACAGGGTGACCGGGCTGGGATGGGCAATGAAGCTATGGGCGCCTGGCACCAGCTCTCACAGGCCTGTCTTCTACCTCCAGATTTGGCTTTGCACACCCTGGCATGATGCAGGAACTACAAGCCAGACTGGGCCGGCCAAAGCCCCAGTGACTGGGACCTGGTACCCTGGGAGCCAGGCCCTGAATAAGAGTCAAGGCTCACTCGGACCCTGCTCACCCATGATTCCTTCTGCCACCTTGGATGCATCCTTTCTACCCTCTGAACCTCAATTTCTTGATCTGTCATTCACGGAGCAGACAAAACCAGACATCTGGGAAGACCTTGAACTTAAGAAGTCTGATTCTCCAGTGCAGGCTGCTGGACCACCTACCCATGGGGACCACTTCTCACAGGTCTCTGCCCTGGTTCCTCCCTAGCCTGTCTCAGTGGTTCATAAGACTGAAAGGAAGACTGAGAGGGGACAGAGACTATTCTTCCCACAGCCTTCCCTCTCTGACCCCTGTCCCCAGCCCATGCACCCTGCTCAAGTGTCTCAGAGCTGAGCAGAAGTTACACAAGCCTCTGGGTTTGAAGCCAGCCCCAAGGAAAGGGGTTAGGAGGGTCTAAGAGTCAAAGGTTGCTGGAAGCTGCCTTGAGCATCCAAAATGGTGGCTTAGCCTCAGAACACTCTGGTTACTATGGCAACTGCCAGCTGAACAGGCCAGAGTGAGGGAAGGTAGGCCAAGGACCCTAAAGATGTAGGAGCAGAAAGGAGCCCAGAGTGGCCAGAGGCTGCTGACTTTGCTCCAGGCCATCCTGCCCTTTGGGTGTCGGGCAGCCCTTCCCTGAAAAGAAACTGAGGCGGGGAGAGAGTGAGAGTGCTTTATTAGGCACCCAGCATAGTGGCCTGGCCCCAGGAGGACCAGCAGACCCTGAACAATAAATAAACCACCATCTCCCTAAACAATAAATAAATATCCAAGAAATAAATACCTGTCAAGGACTGGTGGGGATTTGAGTTATTGGGTAGGGCCTGGTACTGAGGGCTGCTAGAGCCTTGCCTTGTCTAGGGCAGATGAACTAGAGGTTGTCCTGTTGGGCAAGATTCCAGTTCCAGAGTCCTACAGGGTGAGGGGTAGGGGGCTGAGAAGTTACCCCATCAGGACTGGGGCCGGGTATTGGGAATCCCAAGGCCTACGCTGGGTGCCCGGCCTTGGACAGCAGCAGCAAGTCCCGCACGGCCCGAGATAAGACAAGCTCCAGGGAGTGTAGCAGCTGGTAGGTGGAGAGGAGCTGGGGCCAGGTCACCCGGGCTGCCCCCTGTGAGGGGCCGCCTGGCACTCCTGGGAGTAGCCCCATCTCCTCTTCCTTCTCCTCCTCATCGGGGAGGGCGAATCCTGCAGCCAGCACCTGTGAGGAGAAGCCCATGGGTCAGAGAGCAGCCAGGCCAAGAGCCTGAGCTAATCTTCATCCCTTATATGTGCCCAACGGCTCATAGTGACATCAGTGACCACAAGGTCATGGTTCCTCTGGACAGCCCCTACATCAGATCTTCCATTGTGTCACCATCTCATGTGTCCTGCCGGATTTTTTGGTTCAAGAAAATGGAAGTCACAGAGCAAGATGATGCTCACAGGGTTGGGTCACTCCCCCAGCATTGCCCTGGGGGTAGGGAGTCAGGAAGTTTCTCTCTGCTGTGAAGGATTGTCTCAGGATCAGAAATGGGTAGGGGGGTGACTTAGCTCAATTTTCATGCTAGTTGCATTTTCTAGTTTCCTTTTATTAAGGGTGAAGTTTCTATTTCCCTTTGAAAGGTTCAGGAGGACCTGGGTGATGTCAGAAGGTCTGAAGGAGAAGGGAAGCAACTTTGCCATAGCACCTGCTGGTGCCATATGATGTCCTGGGAACCTCGGTGCTGTCTCTCACTCAAGACCAGCCCCCAGGAGAAGACAGAGATTTAGAGGGCAACGCTAGAGCCTGTTAAACATTCACACACGCACACATTCACACCCACACTCACACAGACACACTCTCACACTCACTCTCACATCCACACTCACACTCACTCTCACACATACTTTCACAGTACACTCAGACACACCCTCACACACTCACACTCATTCTCACGCACACACTCAAAGGATCTGGAGCCTCTCCCTCCAGACTTCCCAACCTATGGGAAGGAAGTGCTTTAAAAAGGGAGCCAGTTAGGGATGGGGCACAACATCAATAAGGGTACCTGATCTCAAACCAGGCAAAGTGGGGACCAAAGGGAGGCCTAAATTTTATCTGTATGATGACCACTTGTATACCTAATCCTGAATTGTACCCCGCAAAAAAGGGAGCCAGTGAGCCTCAGTTTTGTGTGTTGGTCTCTGGGGGTGAGGAGGGTGGGTGGGCACTCTACCTGGAAGCGGAGATGCCGCTGCAGATCCCGGAGATCCAGCCTCGTGGCCCACAGCTGCATCCTCTCTGAGCTGGTCCAGCCCCCCTGAGTCCCCAGCCCTCTCAGCAGGGCATGGAAGGGCCGAAGCATCATGGAGAGAAAGCAGAGTCGTTCTGGGTCCTATTGAGCGGGAGGGAGAAGGTCATGAAAGGCCTGTAGGCCAAGGCTGACCATTCAAACCCAAACCCCTCTGTATCCAGGTCACCCTCCCATTTCAGCCTCCGTTCCTTCCCCATCTCTCTCCTCCTCAGCCCCAGCTCCATCCCCATTGCCTTCCTGTGCTCATCATCACCCCCATCTCAGTCTCTGACCTCCACCCCATCTCCGACCTCTACCCCATCCCCTTTTCCAGCCCTTTTTTCAGTCCCATGCCCAGACCGTTCTCTCACCCACCCCGTCGCCGTCCCCCTAGCTTTCTCCATCTGCAACCTCATTCCGTTCTCTTCTCCATCCCACCTCCCTTTACATCCTTGCTCATTCCTTTCCCGTCCTCATGTCCATTCCTAATCCCCATTCCATCTCTCCTCTGCAAGTCTAGACTCATTCTCACCATCTTTCCATCCGTCCCCAACACCCTTCCACTCCCCACCAGTGATCCCCAACCTCGCTCCCTCCCCTACTTTTTCATCACCCTGACTCCAACCTTCTTCTCATTCCCGACCCATCCCCACTCTCACTCCTGGCGCCACCTCCATCCGTCTTCCATGCTGCTGTCATCTCTCTCCCCAATCCCATGCCGTTCCCATGCCAGCCTCTTTCCATGCCTGGCTTCATCCTTACCCTCCTCCTAACCCCATTTCTGTATTTCAGCTTCATCTTTATATCCAACAACACACTCAACCTCACCCAGATTCTTTTTTTTTTTTTGAGTTGGAGTCTCACTCGGTCGCCCAGACTGGAGTGCAGTG